CTCCTTCTTGGTAGCTGGTGCAGTGCTGTGTTTTGACTTTCAGGCTGGGAACAAAGCTGATAAAAATGATGTTTTAGTTTGGCCAAGGACTTTGTGAGCCTCATGCTCTGTCAGGGACGAGGGAAAGCCGGGAAGAAGCAGATACAGGACACCTGTCCCAAACTGACCAAAGAGGTATTCCATACCACAGCACGTCATGCCCAGGAGGTAACTGAGAGCTACCCGGAAGGGCTAGGACTGCAGGGTTGGAGGAGGTATCGGTCGGTGCTTGGTCGGGCTGGGGGGAGCAAGTTATCGGTCAGCTGGTGATGGGGTGTTGTATTCTCTTCCCTTGTTATTTCCTTTATCATTACTATTATTGGAGGTAGCAGTAGTGGTTTGTGTTATACCTTAGTTACTAAACTGTTCTTATCTCAACCCGTGGGAGTTGCATTCTTTCTGATTCTCCTCTCCGTCCCTCCAGGAGTAGGGGGAGGGCAAGAAGGGGGGGGGGGGAGGGGGGAAGGGTTAAAAAGTTGTCTGGCTGGGGTTAAACCACAACATATATTTATAGAGCTCCCAGAAGAACTAACTACAAAATCCTTCACCGCACTTCAAATGAACCTGGAAATGTTGTTTATGGAAAGAGACTTTGGAAACAAGGATTTTCGAAGAACCTGGGAAGTTCAGCTCCTACCTTTGTTCTCAGCTCCTTTTCTGTTCTCAGAATTGCTGTCCTGTCCATGCACAGTAACCCAGGCCTAGTCGCACAGTCACAGCCGTCTTAGAACCACATTTGCCCTCGCAACCTAGCTGCAGTGCTCCTTCCTATCCCAGAAAAGAGGAAGGTGTAAAGACAACGTTACTGACTCTGTAATAAATGAGGTAATAAGTAAGACATGTAATAAATGACCAGCAGGTCTTCTCCTCATCCCAGCACTGCAATTTGTGTAACCAAGAGCACAACGTTTTCAGCACACCTATGGGACAGCCGAAAAACTTACGGGTATTAAACCAGTGGCAAGTTAGGAGGAAAGGGGTTTCTTGGAGCTGTTCAGACCCTTAAAATTGACTATGACAAGGACAGAGTGTCAGGATATTCCTGTTCGCTCCAAAAGAGTAACAGCAGAGGTTTTACAGCAGACACACCAACATGTGGCTGCCTTGAAAATCATGGATTAGAAAAGATGCCAAAGGTTTCCTTGACTCAGATGTCCAAGGGGGAGCAGCACAGCCATGTACTGAAGTTCTGTACTCTTACCCCAGTATGGACCTGATAAGCATTCCTGGGAAGTGTGCAGGAGCAGTATCACTCCATAATGATGATGCCCATTTCCATGGTGGTGTTTTGTTCCCCTTCCTGATGTACTTACAATCAGAGGTGCAGAGCAGCATGATCCAGTACGCTCAACCCCCAGAAGCAATTTACTTTTTTCATTTTTAAAGTAAGAGTCATAGGCACTAAAAGGCTGTGAAATGACTATTATTAAGCTACCTTTAAATATGTTTAATGCACCACATGCTGACTCAGAAATTCCTTTCCTCCAAGCCTATAGAAAGCAGAGGGTTTAATTGTGAATGCTTTATTACTGTGTTGATAAATGTACCATAGCATTCATGCCCTTTCAGAAAAAATTCACACAGACCCTTTTTCAAACAATGTCTTAAAGATAAAACTTCAATAAATCTCCTTAGAAGATCAATCTTAGCTTCTGTAGTAAAAATAATAATAAAACTAGCACTTACCTTACTGTAGACCTTCAAAGTGCTGTTTGGATATTAAGCAATTTGTCCCTGTTGCCAAGGATTTTAGTTTGCATTGGACAGCAAGTAGCAGCAGGTATCTTCCCACCTCCCTTTTCCCCTGTCTCCATTAGGGTTTTTTCTCCTTCCTGTTCTGTTACAGATATGCTAGATGGACTTCCCTGTACATGGGAATTCCAGACATCTCTTCCTAATGCTACTGAATGGTTTGAATTTGCTTTTATTAGCCGGTGGAACCCTATTATTTCTAAGATTTCTCAGGAATGGAAAGGAGAGTCAACTTTCTTCTAAAGCCTGCTCTCTTGCCGTAACTCTGAGATGCCATGGGTATGTTTTACAAGGAAATATCCCCTTTTTTCTAGCTCCAATGCCCTTATTTTCTACCATAACTAATGAAACCAGGGGGAGTAGCACAGTATTTGTGCTTACACAAATACAAAGATAAATACTATTGCCCTCAATTTGTATGAAGTGACAATTCTAGCTGTTTATAGGAGACCACGTCCTTTTCAGGTGGCAGGAAGTGCAGGGAAAAGAGTCAGCGCTGCTCTACAAACTGGGGACAACTGTACAATAACTGAGATTTGCAGAGCCAGAGCCTGTCAAGGCAGCAATGCCAGAAAGCAGTTGTACTTCAGATATATTGCACTCCCACCCCACCCAGAACCTCAGAAGCTGGTACAGTCCTGACTCCTCTTTACAGCACATCTTTCTGTACGTGCTCAGAAGTGTAAAGTAAACCATATCCTTGAAATGTTAAATTAAACCCCAAGGAGACTGAGGAGTTTGCAGATGTAACCAGCATTAATTCTGCAGGCAGAAGAGCATCCAATGTCCAAGTGCCTTACAGCCATTTATCTTTTGCTTATCCAGGAAGCTTTCTATAAGCTTGTGAAGGGAACATTGTCAATAAACATGAAAATAAAACCACCACAACCTTGTCTTGAGGAAATTAAGTTAAGGATTACCATCGCCCACTGATGCAATCCCACTTCCAGATGGTACCAGCACAGAGGCATGGCACATCCCCAGCAGCTGTGATTGAGCTGTGAACCTTGGGTTGCTTTATTGTTTTCTCTCCCTGTCTCATAGAATCACAGCATCAATCAGGTCAGGAAAGACCAACCTGAAAGTGAGAAGCATAAATAGTACATGTCCTGAAAGGGGTCTGCCACATGCTTGGACTTCATGGCTGCCCCTGCAGAAGCGGTTCTGACAGGCTGTGTTAAAACCCAGCCCCCTGTTTGCATGACCAGTACAAATCAGTAGACATAGAGGAAACAGCCCCTGCACAGTGATCATTAAGGTCCTTTCCAACCCTAACTATTCTATGATTCTGTAATCTTACCCTTTGCCAGTACCAGTAATCGGTGCTCCAAGAAGATGCAGACAGGATCACAGATCGTACTAGATAGATTCACAGAATGGTTTGTATTGGAAGATGTCAATTACAGGAATTAGGAATGTATTATTGGTAGAGAAGAATTGATACAGCTGAGGCAAAACCATAAGATTTGGGGGTCCGAAAGCATGAAGCAGAATTGTTTCTCTCTGATGGCATGCAGCAAAGATTTCTGAGCTGATTTATTACATAGCTTATGAAAGATCAACACATGTACAGAGAACAAAATCACTGTTTTCTTTTCTTCTTCCCAGAACCATAATTGAAGTGGAGGCTGAGATGGAAAGGTTGAACTCTGACTCAGTTTTCAAGGGCAGGTCTCTCGCTACTTAACCCGGGAATTGTCTGTTACGTTCTATGCTGCCATCATCTGGCTCTTTTCAGAAAACGACATTTTCCAAATCGCTTGTTACCTCCAGGCCTGTTTTTCTCTGAGTAGGGAGCTTCAGTGATTCCTGGGAAGGTATTTCACATCAAGGATTTGCGCTTGTCCAAACAGCAAGCTTCTCTCCAGCTACCACACTCCCTTTTGGCTAGGCATCCAGCTCCCTTTGCTTAACTGAGCACTCAGGGCAGAGGAAGGATGTTGATTTATGTGTCTTTTCACACTCCAACCTACTAGTCTGATCCTAGCTCTTCTCAATCATCCAGCAGAGGTTCCTTGATAGCAAGGCAGTTTTAGCATGCAAGCCATCAGGGTTCTGACCATGTCTTCCTAATTTAGGGAACACAGACACATTTCTTCCTACAGTAAAATGGGTGTTCCCAGCTCTTCCAGTGATTAACTTCAATACAAACAGGTTGTTTACTTACTCTGAGGCAAATATTATCTGCTGTCTGACAGGGCAGTGATAAAAGGTGAGAGAATCTTTCCAACCAGCTTACACTGACCCAAGGCCACACTGCTCCAAGAGATACAACCTTCTCCCTCCCGTTCCACTAGCAACCAGAGTACTGTGTAAAGCTTCAGAAACATTGCTCTGTCTAAAAATTGGATGTCTGATGGCTGATAAAGCTCTCAGTGAACCATGAAAGCAGTGATGCTCAGGCAAATCGAGGGGGGGGGGGGAGGGAGGGGGGAACAATACGTACAATAAACTTGGCTTCATCTTCAGGCTGCAACACACCTAAGGCAAATCTTTTCTATTTTTAACATTTCCAGTCATAGAAGGGGGAAGGAATTGTTCCTCAGCTCCATCTAAACCTGCCCTGGTGCAGCTTGAGGCCGTTTCCTCTTGTCCCATCCCTTGTTCCTTGGGAGCAGAGCCCAGCCCCTCCTGGCTCCATCCTCCTGTCAGGCAGTTGTAGGGAGTGATAAGGTCCCCCCTGAGCCTTCTCTTCTCCAGACTGAACCCCCTAGGTCCCTCAGCCATTCCCCATCACACTTGTGCTCCAGGCCCTGCACCAGCTCCATTGCCCTTCTCTGGGAAATGCTGGGCATTTTGTTTACTCCCTGTTCTTCCCAGGAGCCCTCTGGTATCTGCATGTGTCAGACTAAAGTCTACTAAGCAAAATATGCTCAGCTTTGTCTCCCTGCCAAAGGATTCACATAACCTGTTGTGTAGGTAGGAAGAGCAGGAAAGCAGGGCTGCCTGCCTTTCTGCTGGCCAGCCACAGCCCAGTCCCAGTGCAGAACAAGAAGACACCACACAGAACACTGCTGTTGTACGGGAACTGCAAACAAGCAAAGAGAGAGCACATCAATCAGTGTGCACTTCTTGACCGGACACTCACTGATCACCACAGGGAGGCAACAGCATGGGGTTACTGGCAGACATTCCAATATGCTTCCCTTTCATTCCTTTTCCTGAGCCCAGGAGATGTAGATAAGATAAGCCTCTGCTGGACATGTCCCTGTTTTTCACAACAGGGAACTACTGCATCCAAAAGAGACTTTGGGGCCTGTAGTTCAGAAATGACAAATCTTGGGGCAAAGCAGGAAAAAAGGGCATATTTAAACAGGGACTGTAAGGAGAGACAAACCTAAAGGAAGAAAAGAAGAAGGGAGACTTGGTCTTAGAAACTTTGAGAGCAGCTGCTTGGATTTAATCCCCACAGCTCAGCCTTGAGAAAATCTGCAGAATCAAAACTGAAATTAGAGAGACCCTTCCTTAATGGCCAAAGTAAAACCATGGCTAATACTGGATATGCAGAGCATGCATTCTGTCCGAGCAGTAACTGCAAATGACAGTGGGCTGAAGTTTACAGAGACTCTGTTTGCTGCTTAGTTTTTACTGACAGAACAGAGGTGGGACAAAGAAGATGGAGGATGTGACAGGTGAATTAAAGCTCCATTGGGAATTCAAATCTGAATTGGACATGAATCAATGCACGCAGGTCTTGTGCTTCCCCCAAAGAGCTTCACTGACCTGAATACAAGCTGAGTGCCTCCCTCATGCATCCTGGCAAAAATGGGCTGAGACTTCCAGACCCATTGAGGAACTGGCAGAAATGGACCTGGGCTTCCAAGGCTTGAAATATATCCCAATCCTATAGAAGCAACACTGAAAACACACGCATACCTCTGTAAAAATACCCATGTCAGCACGGTTAAACATTGTAGGCTTGAGAAAATACCTTGCATACAGTTGTTTGCAGAGGAAATGCAGACAATTCCTTTATTGGCCCTGTATTGTTTCACTGATGTTTATTTCTTATGCAGCCAATTTTCCCAGCCTTGACCTGCTTAACTTTAGAGCAAGAAGGAAACAGAGAAGCAGCAAATCATGTAGAAATATGTGGTGAGTGTTCCTGTCTTGTGGATTAAACCAACCAAAGAATGCTTCATTTCATTTTTCAAGCAGGCTTTCTTATGTTTCTGGAGAGTGCTGATGCCCTGTGATATCTGAGCAAGACAGCATTAGGACCATAGACACGGTACTCCTCCTTGCTTTCTTGATAAAAGAATAATGAACTCAGTGGTGCAGAAGCAGCACAACATGCCTGTACAAAGGCGACCTCAAAGCCCACTCAGCTGCTTCACTGATGTGTATTAAAATTAATGAGTTTCTGCTACAAAAAGAAAGAGGTAAGAGGTGTCCTTAGGTGGGAAGGAGATCTCTGATCTTGTATTATAGCACAGCCACTGAGCACCACAGAATCCTGCAGTGCTTAGTCTCAAATAATACATTTCTTCTTTAACAGGGGAAGCAAGGACAGGCTGAATACACTTATGCTATCTACTGAAAGAGGGGATAGGAGAATTTTTCATTTGCATCTTAAGCACCTTCCCATTAGTAAAGACTGGACTGCCATTAAGACTCTTTTTTTCTCCCCGTTTATATAGCTAATAGAGCAAAAAATTGGCAATATTGAATGCGAGGCAGCACCTGAGGCTGCTAACTCAGCCAATACAGCCACAGTGCTTAATGGATCTCAATTACAGAGCCCTTATTTTTGTGCACGGAAACATCTATCTGGAGGTCAGCACGTTTCATTAATATTTTTGATTAACACATCCTTCACAATGGTTTGGAGCTTTTAATGCTCCTCGGTTAATGAAGCAACATCCTGAAGCAGGCATTAGCTTGGGACATAATACACATTCAAAATTGCTGTTTCATTAAGACAGCTCAGTTTTACCCCGGATTCTTCAAGGCTTCATCCAACTGCAAAGAAGAGTTAGTAACACCCTGTGACACTAACATCGCTTTGAAGCTCCTGTCCTGCCTAAGTATTCCAGCAAGGAACAAAAGTGACAAGCATGTTTCACATCTGAAAAGCCCATAGAATCATAGAATAGTTAGGGTTGAAAAGGACCTTAAGATCATCTAGTTCCAACCCCCCTGCCACGGGCAGGGACACCTCACATTAAACCATGTCACCCAAGGCTCTGACCAACCTGGACTTCAAGTATTTTACGAGCTCTGCTCAAGCTGTCTGCTTGGATTGAAATTCTAACTGGAAGACACTTTTATCATAGACTACCTGAATTGCACAGCAGAATTGCCTACAATCTTAAGGAAGGTCACTTCCTATTTTTAGATGCTAGAGACACATCAATCTCAGATACATCAGCGACTGCTAGCTTTGGCCATAGAATAAAATTACAAGTAAAAGTCATAAAACCAAGATCACCTCAAAACTGCTCTGGACTATCCCATATGCTCCAAATATTCTCCTCTTATTGACGAGATCTGATCTCAAACTATTCAGATTTGACATTTATGCACTTTCTGTCCCAGAGTTGAGTGAGAAGGGACTCAGAGAACTCAGAGAAGGGGGGAAAGAAGCTCAGTCTACTAATGTATGGAGCTTTCCAAATGTAATGTGCCTGTGATTTATGCCTAAAAATCTTTGCCATGTCACTGATGCTGAACTTACTACTTCTACAGTATACCTTCCTCAGTCTGATGACTGTTTATGGTCTAATTTAATCAAGTTCAGCCTATTAATAGTATGACGTAAAGGGCAGTTATTTTGCTTATCTCATTAAACCCAGAAATTTGCTATACTGCCATGTCGTTAAATCCCAGACAGTCGAGGAGCATTGAATTAGGACTGCATTATTCATCATTACTTACATTTAGTTTTCCTTTAGTCTCACTAGCTTCAATCTTTCTCAAAATACATACCACACGAAGAAACATGGCATCTGAAGGTCAGCCTCTATCACTTCTTCTGGGAAAGAGATTTTTGGGAAGGCAGGAAAGAAAATGGAAAAGAAAATGTGTCCCAGAAGCCTCCAGAAACATTATTTAAATAAATAACCTAAATACAGTTGATTCCAGCTTCTCCAGTTAAGGCAAAATAGAACTCCATCACTGAGCAATATGCCATGTATTCAGTAAAACCTCACACTGGGCTCTGGCAAGGACCTGATTTCCCTCTTCCTTCCCTCCTAATATAAAGAAAGTTCAATTGGATGTGTGGAAACATCATGAAGAGACATTTCCACAAGGACTTCCAGGACCAAAGAGACAGATACCACTCCTGCTAACAGCAATCACATTCACAAGACACAGGCCATGTACACATCAGCAAGGACCGGGGTTCACTAGGAAGAGAGCTGTGGAATGAAGCAGTGGGTGCTGATGACCTGACATCTTCACTGTGCATGCTTCATGGGAGTTTACCTCAAACACAAACTAGGCAGGTTCCATCAGGGGCTGAATGCAGCTGGTGAGCATCAAATGTGCGCTTGGAACACATCAACCTCTTCAGTTTCATCTGAAAGAGATGAAGTACCCCAGGACTGCTCCATGATGTGAATCAAAGCACATTCAGCAGGGACAGGCAAATTGGCTTCAGAAGCATATTCCTGATCTGAGCTAAACCACAGATCTAGACAGGGTATAAATTCTTCTGCATAAGACCCTAATAGCAGAATATACAGAGGAATCAAATATATTCTGTACTGTGCCCAGAGATGCACCTTAGAAAGTGGAATCAGGATGGGTCTTCCAAAGCGAGGTGGTACTGTGTGAAAGGCAAACAGAAGGGCAGGCAATGCTTTCAAATTAGAGAGAATGGAATGAGGCAATTTCGAGTCATTTTACTCCCTCTAAGAGTAAAACCTGCTTTAGTATTTGAATCAAATGAAAGCAGCTCTGCAGCACGAGCCCCAGAGCTGAGCACCAAAAGGACTGTCTCCTCCAGTGGCTGGGGTATTTCTCCAAGTCTCAAGTGACAGAAAAAAGATCAAGGGTTTTTACAGGCTGAAGACCTGCGACACTCAGCTTTTCCGTATCTGGGCTTTGTCACACAACATTAACCAACAGTATTTTGAGATGCCTAAACAGAAATAAGCTTATTTTTATTCAGACAGAAATGAAATATAGTAACAAAAATTGAAAGCAATCTATTCTATGATTCTATTCTGTGCACTCTGTAAGAAACTGGAAGACATGGATATTTGTTTGGAAACATATACAACACACCTAAGAAGCAGGCAACCAAGTTAGCCCAGATTTCTAATTCAGTCAGAGCAGCACTTCAGGCAGGTCTTTGTGTGGGAATGTGACACATGGGAGATGACACAGGGAGGGTGGATCACTTTCCTGTAACACAAAATCGAACAACGTATTACGAAACATATAATTTAAAAGATAGTAGTCAGAAAGGTGATCCAGTGCCAGATGAGACACAGCTTTTATCCACTGCAGTGGACCAGAGAATCATAGGATCATAAAATCTCAGAATGACCCAACCTGGCCTTGAGCACTGCCAGGGATGGGGCAGCCACAGCTTCTCTGGGCACCCTGTGCCAGCGCCTCAGCACCCTCACAGGGAAGAGCTTCTGCCTTAGATCTAACCTGAACTGCCCCTGGTTCAGTGTGAACCCATCACCCCTTGTCCTGTTGCTACAGTCCCTGATGCAGAGTCCCTCTCCAGCATCCCTGGAGCCCCCTTCAGACACTAGAAGCTGCTCTGAGGTCTCCACACAGCTTCTCTTCTCCAGGCTGAACACTGCCAATGCTCTCAGCCTGTCTCCAAACGGGAGCTGATCATCCTTGTGGCCTCCTCTGGACTTGCTCCAACAGCTCCATGTCCTTACACTGAGGACACCAGAACTGCACACAGTGCTGCAAGTGGGGTCTCACTAGAGCAGAGCAGAGGGGAAGGATCCTCTCCCTTGACCTGCTGGTCACGCTCCTGTTGATGCAGCTCAGCACACAGGGGTTTCTGAGCTCAACACACATTGAAGTGGCTCGTGTGCAGTTTCTCATCGACCAACACCCCCAAGTTTTTAATGATCATGAGTGATATTCGCAAACCTGGAGAGCCCTCAAGTCAAGCTGTAAACCTGCAATTCTGCTTTAAAGCTGTATTGGGTTAAAATTCAATAGCAGCAAGACTCAAAAGAAAGTAAGCAGGAAAGTATTATCACATCTGTAACACCATGTAGCAGTTCTGAGGACACAATAATATCTTCAGACAGAGTTCCTGAAGTACAGCAAATAATATTAAGGTAATTTCAAGCTACAAACACTGGTACTATATGAAGACAAAAGTTTCAATATAAAGACAAAATGGTCTGTGGTCCTTAACGTATATCTATGCTAGAGAGCAGTTCAGCTGAGGAGGACATGGGTGTATTGGTGGATGATGAGTTGACCATGAGCTGTCCCTTGAGCCAGGAGGGATCCATCAGGAGTAGTGCGGCAGCAGGCCAAGGGAGGTGATTCCTCTCCCTCTACTGACCCTGGTGAGCCCGCATCTGGAGCGCTGTGTCCAGTGCTGGGCTCCTCAGTATGAGAAAGACAACGAGATGCTTGAGAGGGGCCAGTGGAGGCCACAGGATGCTCAGGGGTCTGGAGCATCTCTCTTATGGAGTCTGGTTATTCTGGAGAAGAGCAGCCTGAGAGGGGATCTCATCAATGCAGATCAATAGCTCAAAGGTGGGTGCAAGGAGGATGGGGCCAGACCCTTTCCAGTGGTGCCCAGTGACAGGACGAGGAGCAATGGCCATAAACTAACACACACCAAGTGTCACCTCAACATGAGCAAGAGCTTCTTTACATGAGGGTGTCAGAGCCCTGGCACAGGCTGCCCAGGGGGGTGTGGAGTCTCCCTCTCTGGAGCCATCCCAAACCCACCATGGACATGTTCCTTTGTGCCCTGCTCTGGGTGGCCCTGCCTTGGCAGGGGTTGGACCGGATGATCTCCAGAGGGCCCTGCCAACCCAAATGATCCTGTGATGCTGTGATTTTTGAACATCCAAAATAAAACCTGTAGAGCACTAACTGCATGTTCCCTTGTCTTTTGCATCACACAGACCCACATGAGTAGAGGGGAGCAGAGGGGAGAAGGAAGGGAAAAGGAGGAGAAGGGAGGAGGATGGGAAGGCGAAAGAAGCAAAGAAAGGAGAAAAAAGAAGAAGAAAAGATGGGAAGAAGTCAAGAAGGAAGTGTAGGAGGTGGTACCATGACACGGTTCACCAGCCTTCAACCCTGCTGGCAGGAGGACACAGGTCAGCAGAGCTGCCATCAGCAGAGAGCAGTCCTTATTTACAGTTCATAATCTTGTCAGCAGGAGTCACCTCTGGGAAATGGGCTACACTGATTGCAGCTTCCATCAGCCAGCACATGCACCATGGACTTGGACCCAACTTGCCACACAGCTGGTATTCCTGTGTTAACCAGTGCCTATGACAACCCACCTTTAATTAGAGCACAAAACACAGAACAAGATCCCAGCTGGCTTTTGAATATTTCCACATTGCCAAGAAATCCCACGAGGAATCAGAATGGTTTGGGTGAGAAAGGACCTTAAGGTCATGCAGTTCCAACCCTCTGCTTCAGGCAGCAACACCTCACACTAGACCATGTCGCCCAAGGCTGTGTCCAACCTGGCCTTGAACACCGACAGGGATGGAGCATTCACAACTTCCCTGGGCAACCCATTGCAGTGCCTCACCACCCTCAACATCACCAAACTGGAAAGAACTAAAAAGACCGTGGCTTTCTGGGATAGTTGAGAGGTTTACAGCCACATTCTCCAACCCCTGAACCTTCCACTGCAAGTGGCAATGGCCCTCCACATTTCTGACCAGTTCACAATTTCTCTGCTTCCTTAACTCTTTGTTCCTGACCCATCTATTTAGAGAAGCAGCTTTTCCAGACTTTCAATTTGTCTAACATACAAGGGGTGATGGGCTTAAACTAAAAGAGGGAGATTAATGCTGGATGTGAGGAAGAAATTCTTTACAGTGAGGGTGGTGAAACGCTGGCACAGGTTGTCCAGAAAGGTGATGGATGCCCCATCCCTGGAGACACTCAGGGTCAGACTATGGTTCTGGGCAATCTGATCTGGTTGAAGGTGTCCCTGCTCATTGCAGAGAGTTGGACTAAATGAGCTTTGCAGGTCCATCCAACCCAAACCGTTCTGTGATTCTATAGTACTCTCGTGGTATCTCTAAGAAAATTCAGCATTCCTGGTAACAGGAGTTCAGTTTTAGAATGGATTTGCTGTGATTTTTCCTGAAGACTCTCAACAGACCTATTTCACTTACAAGACTTCATGACATTTATGCTTATAATGCTTTGTAAAAACCAACCCTTATCACCTGCCTAGCATTATCTGTCCAGAAATTACAGTAAATCACCACAACCTTTACCTCACCCACTAATTCAGTTTAGCTACGTCCAGAACAAAGGGCCACAATAAATGCCAAAGCAAGTGCTACACCCGCTTATAAATCACACAGCCCCAATTCCCTTATTTAAGAAGTTATATATTTACTAGATTATAGCCAGCAAACAACACATTAGGTCCCTCAGACAATCACTGATTTCTTAGAGGAAAAGCCTGTGGCAAGTATTTCTTAGCCCCACCATGGACGTTTCTAAAATATCTTTTTCAACCTTCTTTCCTTAAACTCCCAAAAGAAAGTTAAACTTCACCTGGATGGATATGTGCATTCCCAAAGCACAGTAACACAGCATCGACAGGATTTAGCATCTCAGACTGGTTTTCTTCCAGTCTTTTTACCTTGTCGCCGATTGCAAAGGCATCGTGATAAATGTGACATCGAAATGCAGTCCCGCACTTTGGCTTCGGAACGTCAAAGACAAAGAAGGTAAGATCTGTATTTCTTCACATCTCTTTAGGCCGCACACCACTCTTAAGAAATATGGCTACCAAAATCTGTCTTTCCATAGTATTTTGATCCTGCTCTTCGTTCTGTTTTTCTTACTAAATAAAATCCTGGTTTATGCTTCCCCAAGTTGTCTGGATTATAAGATCTCGTGCTTTCAGATGTGGGAGGAGAGGACTGAGAAATATGTGTGTTATTCCATCATACCTTTAATGTCTTTATGCCAGTTTACAATGGATGAGTATCTATTTCAAAGGTAGAACTACACAAATCTTGAAATATCTGTGTGACTGGACTATAGCTGCTCTTGGGAGACAGGGGGAAAACAGGACAGAAAGGCAGGGCGAGGAAAAAGGAGAGGGGGATGCTGCAATGTTGTTAAATTTGATCCATGTCCTAAACCTGCTTCTGTGACATTAAAAAGTATTAGAGAGTGATTTTGAACACGGAAGAAACACTGTGGTCAGGGTGCTGATTTGGCCAACAGCAAAGCAGCCATGCGTAGCAGGAATCACAGCTCACATAGAGATACACAGATTGGGTGGTTTGGCTTTCATTTAAACCACAACCCTTACCACCAAAGCTAGGACTATTTTAATGACAACCTAATTAGCCACATCTGGTTAAACCATTCTGTTTGCTCAGGAAAGGCATCAAAAAGCATTGTGAGGAGAGCCATCACTGAGAAGTATAAACAGAGACAGCTTTTGCCTTGCTCTGCATCCTCATGGGGTAATGGTTGGACTTGATGATCTCAAAGGTCTTTTCCAACCCTGTTGATTCTATGATTCTTTGGACACCAGAACTACGTGCAGCACTGGATTGCCTTAGACATGCCCCACACTGAGTTTTCTTCTGGTTTATGGGATGATTCCATGTTTGGAGCTGTGTTCACATGAAGCTCCTGAATGCTCCTGTTAAGGGGGATGACAAATGGAAATTAACATGAAAAATGACCATAAATGCTTCTGGTCATGTTAAAATGTTGATTTAATATATTTTCAAAGTGTGTGGATGCATTAGACTTGTTCTAACCTGCGTTGTTGTGGGGTGATCTTTTATACAAAGACTCAAGAACATTGCTTTGCCGAGAGGAAAACCAGCACAGCAGAAAGAGGCTCTGTAGTCAGCAGAGGGAGTCAGCCACTTCCAGAAAGCTATTCAGCTATGTTACGGGTGGCCAAAGTGCCCTCTGGAGATACCCGTCTCCACTGACACAGAGAGAATCTAACACACACCTACCCTACATCTATAGTAAGACATGGA